TGATGCAATCCAATTTGTTGATTAGCTATTATTTTGTGAGCTATTAGAGCCATATTGAGGAAGTCATTGTCTATGCCTCTATCCTGAAATGTTTCCCCTATGTTTTCCTCTAGTAGTTTCAGAGCTTCAGGTTTTACATTAAAGTCTTTGATCCATTTCTGGTTGATTTCAATATAGGGTGACAATACAGATGGAGTTTCAGTCATCTACATTTGGATGTCCTGTTTAGCTGGAATTATTTGTTGAAGATGAATGTCTTTTCTCCAACATATGTTTTTTTGCACCTTTGTCATGAGTCAAATGGCTGGATCTGAATGTATTTATTCTGTAAATTTTATTCTATTCCATTGGTCCAAATGTCTCTCTTATTCCAATACCATGTTGTTTCTGTTATTATGACTCTGTACTGTAATTTGAAATCAGGAATCATGAAAATCCTAGCATTTCTCTCTTTTTTTATTAAGATGTATTCATTGTATGGGGGGCAGGGGGCAGTATTTGAAGTGACAAGTTCTTATCAGACTTACATTTCCCCTATTGTCCCAACTTCAGCTCCTCCTCACCCCACCCAAAGCAATTACAAGAGGTTTTTTAGTTCTGTTTCATATAGGTATATGAAGTCCATCAACCATATACCATCACCTTAATCTCCTTCCTTCACCTCCTTCATCACACATAAAATGGGCACTGTGCCAAGCTGTTATGAAAAACAGCATGTGAGAAAGGGAAGTCATTAACAGGAGATTTGGGAGTAAAGGAAGGCAGTTAAGAAGGTGAATGTGTTTGATACACTTTCTAACAAATATAGAATTTTTAAATCTCTTGAAATCACCATACTGGGGACCATACATGGGGACTAAGGTAAAAAGGAGCAAAATAGAGGGGATGAAGCAATTGAGATTACAACACACATGTACATGGAAACATCACAATGAAACTCCCTGTATAGCTATCTTAAACAAACAAAAATGCCTTTTTTTGGGCATCTGCACACCCATGATTATTGCAGCATTATTCACAACAGCTAATCTTTGGAAACAGCCAAGATGCCCCACTACTGATGAATGGATTAAGAAAATGTGGTATTTATGTATAATGAAATTTTATTCAGCCACAAAGAATTAAATTATGTTGCTTACAAGTAAATAAATGAAACTGGAGAACTTCATCTCAGGTGAAGTTAGCCAGGTTCTGAAGGCCAAAAATTTCATGATTCCTCTCATATGTGGAATATAGACCTAACACAAATACAACAATATTATGAAAAGCAAGTCACACTTAGGGGAGGTCAATACAAGAGGGGAGGATAAAGAAGGTGTACATGGTTTATGTATTCTCTATACAAAAATGAACATAGAACTTTAAAACCTTTTGAAACCACCATAGGAAAGGAACTAAGGTAGAAACAGGAAAAATAGAGGAGACAAACCAATTTGGACTATAATACATATATACATGGAAGGGCCACAAAGAAAGCCCCTTTGTAACCATCTTAAACAAGCAAAAATGTCATTTTTTTCATTTACAAAATTTGAGAACAGGAGGGCCGAACAGGTCCTGCCTAGAGAGGGTGTGTGGTACCAGTAGGAGGGGGGAGGAGGTGGGGAAAGTTTGTGGGAGGGTGAATATAGTGCAAATACTATGTAATCATGTATGTGAATGGAAAAATGAAACATGTTGAAACTATTCCAGGAATGGGGGAGGAGGCATAAAGGAGGATGATGGAGGTGGTGAATCCAACCACAATATATTGTAAGAACTTTTATGAATGTCACAATGTACCCCCAGTACAACAATAATATGATAATAAAAAAATCCTCCATTGAAAGTTCTTTTGAAATAAGACCTGCAACATAAGCCACCATATTTCTCCTTTATTCTCATAGATTTACCTCCAATAGCAAGTTCAGATAAATACAAACACATTTTAAGGAGAAAAATAATCCAAATTCAGCACCCATAGCAAACATTTTATAACCAAACAATTTAGTATCTTTTAGCTACTGGTACAATGAATCAGACCTCAAATTGTTCAATGGAACAAACCAGACATACAAAATAAAAATAGCATATAAACCTTATTTGCTTTATTTCTAATATGAATGAAATAATAAAAAATAATAAAACAATAATTCAGATACCAATGTCATGAGTTTTATGTTTAATGTCTCTCAATTTTATTGTATCTTGTTTTAATTCTCTTAATTCTATTGTATCTTGATTATGTACCTAAAGTAAGTACTCGATATGATTTTATAAACAAATAAGACATTTTACTAGCACATTTTATGACCTCATGGACTTTTCCTCTTGCTATTTTCTGCTTTTTACATGTTTACATAGAAAAGGATTGTATTAATTTGGCAGAAATTTGTTTCATATTAAAATAAAATAATAATGAAATTTGAAAAAAACTGAAGACTATTTCCTCACTGTTATATACTTTTCTGATGTTTAATGTTTTAAAAAATCATTTTTGAAATGTTCCTAATTAAAATTATTCAAGTTAGCATTCTGGTGCCCTCAGCACTATAATCTGTCTCTAGAGACATTTTTATTCTGCTTTCCAACAAAAATCTCCTGTGTATTTTTTGATCAGAAAAAAAAGATAAAAAATTAGTATGCTGATTTTGGAAAGAATATTTGGAAAACCAGGCTTCCTAGCTGGAAGGTGCATAAGGTGAGATAAATAAATAAATAAAATACATTACAGCCCATCTTTCCTTCACAAGAGTTACTGTCAGCCAAGTAAAATATTATATTAATGGGCTTTACTAGCATTCTGGGTCAGACTTTGTTATTTTTATGGAATTTTGGGGAAATGGGAGGTACCAAATATGTAGTTTTTAATCATACAACTTGGATGATCTTGTAACTTGAAGCAGTCATTTACTGTCTACTGTCAATGTTGTTCACTCTCAACACATTTCATTCATATTATGCAGCTCATTTTTTACCATAACTGTTGATTCTCACTCATGATTTGCTCCATTTCTTCTTTGCCAACTAAAAGTGTCACTGAATTTGCAAGCAAAATTAAAACTTCATCATGTCTACCTGCCTCTTACACTGTAAGTAGTGGTTCAAAAGTTGTGATAAAGATAACAGATTTTTCTTTATTTACTTCTTTCTTTACCTCTCTCTGTTCTCCCTTCCTTTCATTTTTCCTTTTCAATTATAATATGTCCATTTATTTTTTTGTCTTTTTTTCTTTTCTGGTGCTGGGATCGAACCCAGGGCCTCATGCATGCTAGGCAAGCACTGCACCACAGAGCTACATCCCAGCCCTGTACATTTATTTTATAATTCAAAAAATTTATAAGCATAAATTAATTGTACAAAGGGGTTTCACTGTGATATTACACACATGCATAAACATACTTTCATCAAATTCACTCCATCTATTTATTCTTTCTTATGACCTCTCTTCTTCCACCTTCCTTTTTAATGGTTTTAGTGGATTTCATTATGCTATTTTCATACATACATATATATAGATGTACTTCAAACATATTCACCTGTCATCACCTCTACTTTGCACCTCTCTTTTTTTCTTAATGCTTCCTTCCTTCCTCCCTCCTTCCTTCCTTTCCACTCTATCCATCTCTCCTTTCATCTCTTTCTTTCTTCACTTCTCTCTTTGTTTCAAATCTTATCCACATTACAGCATCATCATAACCTATAGTTCTGAATACCTGCTCTGTAACCAATTGCAAATTCTCCTTTTCCAAAAGTCCAGTCTTATTTCTACAGCATTTAGCTTTAGTCCTAAGTAATAAGCTGGTGACAGAGACACTTTTTCACAAGAAAAAAAAATGTTCCAGTACTATCTGAGTTTCAGACTTAATGTGAATCACTACTTGGGACTGCCTATGGAGGTTTCACCACTGATGGAGTCACCCAAATTCTAATCAAGTCACCAACTCTTCCCTACATCACAAATTGCAGAACTTCTTGGATGCTTTCCTAAAGTCTATTGTAAAACCTTCTATGAGCAATCACAACCTTGTCACCATCCTACCAGGACCTCCCCCACTTTAAGAAGAGGCTTTCTATTCATCCTGACAGTATGATCCATCTCACTTTGTATAACCAGGACCATCTTGCCAAATCCCACCTACACACTATACAATTCTGTTATTATATAAGGGAAACAAAGCTAGACACAGTTTGAAAATGGTACAAAATGCTCCAAAAGTAAAACATCAAATATTGATACTCAATTTTAAAAAAGCATCAGTGCATTTGGGTCTGAGCAGTTAAACACCTATGCCATGAGATTATATAATTATAAGTATATTTTCTATTTCTTGTCTTACTTTTTTTCCCATTCTGTAATCATTGTATATACTAGGTCACTTAACTTCGGCATCTAAGACTCTTGTCCATAAAGTGATAAATTGTTATTTAATTCACAAAGGAAATTTTTAAAGTTTTTAAAACATAGAAAACTTCTGAGTTTGCTTCTTCTTGGTTATAAATATTGATTTTGATATTCTGATTCTTTAGTTAAAATAATAATTCTCTGTATAGGCAAGAGTGATATTAAAAATGTGCAAAATTTAGGAAATATCTCTAAAAAGTACACTTTAAAGTAACTCATTTTCAGAAAACCAGAACATGTGGTCATTGGTATACTGTTTAAGAAATAAAAGAATATTTTACATTCTAAATATTTCCATCTATTTTTCATATATATAAGACCAGACACTTAAAAGAAAGTAAAACACATTTGCTAAGTGTGTTTTTCTTATACTGATGCAATTATTAGACCTTTCCAATTAGATGGCTAAATAGTAAATAACTAGTGACTTACAGCAGATAACAGACATAAAATATTTTGCAACTAATATGCATTTTCAAAATTCAGTACAACTTGGTGGCTGATTTATTGTTTCATTACAGCCTTATGTATTTCCTAAATAACCCTTCAAGATGTTATCCTCTACTCTGTAAATCATTGTTTCTTGCTTTCTTTTGGCAGAAGTTAACACTAAGAAATGAAAAATCAAACATCTGTGTATGAGTTCATTCTTCTGGGATTGACAGATGACCCAAAGCTAAATATTTTAATTTTTCTATTTTTATTTCTAGCTTATATACTGAGTATTACTGGAAATATGACAATAATTACCCTCACTCTGATTGATTTGCACCTCAAAACACCTATGTATTTCTTTCTTAGGAACTTCTCTTTCCTAGAAATCTCATTCACAACAGTTTGTATTCCTAGATTCCTGGTCAGTATTGTAACAGGGGATATGACCATTTCTTATAATTCTTGCATGGCCCAGGTGTTTTTCTTTATACTCCTTGGTTCAACAGAATTTTTCCTTTTGACTGCCATGTCCTATGATCGGTATATAGCTATCTGTAAGCCATTGTATTACACAACAATAATGAACAGCAGGATCTGCATCCAGCTGGTACTTAGTTCTTGGCTGGCTGGATTTCTCATTATCTTTCCACCTGTCATCATGGGGCTTCAACTGGATTTCTGTGACTCCAACATCATTGACCACTTCACCTGTGACTCCTCTCCAATGCTACTGATTGCCTGCACAGACACAACTTTCCTGGAGCTCTTGGGATTTTTCCTGGCAGTATTCGTTCTCATGATGACCTTAACATTAGTGATCCTTTCCTACATATTCATCCTTAAGACAATTCTGAGAATCCCCTCTGCTGAGCAGAGGAAAAAGGCCTTTTCCACTTGTTCCTCACACATGATTGTTGTCTCCATTTCTTATGGAAGCTGCATTTTCATGTATGTCAAAACTTCAGCAAAAGAAGGTGTGGCTTTGACTAAGGGTATAGCAGTTCTCAATACCTCTGTTGCCCCAATGCTAAATCCTTTTATTTACTCCCTGAGGAACCAGCAAGTAAAGCAATCCTTTAAGAACTTGCTCAAAAGGCATTTTTCAAATAAATTTTAATGGAAAAGAAGTTCATTACCTCAACTTCAATTGGAACATTCTATGTAATCCTTGTCTAGAATTGCTGTATTTCTCCTCCCACTGCTATATTCCTTTGCCTGAATGTTCATTCTTTGTTTTTCCCATTTGACCTCATGAGGCATGGTTATCTTCTCACAAACCATAGGCTCTTGAAACTTCCAGCACGTGAGTGACTTGATGTTACAAAAATGAGAATGGCATTTAGCAGGAATGCCAGAAATTTGTTTTAGATAATCATTGAAGAAGTTTCCCTTTGAGTACTAAGAAATAATTTCAATAAAACTGATCATCAAGCAACTCTGAAGATTATTTTGCCCAGTGCATAAGCACAGATTACCTGTGAGGTAATGTCTCCTTTTCCTATGTTTCTACTTCTTGTATCCCCATGGCTTTTCATCATAAATACTGTCCTATACTATTTGGTGCATAGGTGTTGTATCTCCACTGTGAATTTCACCCTTTATTATTATAATGTATGTTGCTTAAAGCTTTTTTGGGCTCAAATTCCAATCTTACTACAGATATGACTGATGTTTCTGGCAGGCCCCAACATCCTCACCATGAAATATCTTCAATGAGCTACATACTCTCACTTCATAGTCCACTCTTTTTTTTTTAATTTGCTAATTCTGAGCCTTGCACTCATCTGAAGCTTCTTTGGAATAACCCTGCCTTGCCTTTGTTTTCTCAGAGCCAACATTCTTTTATTATTATTATTTTTGTGGCAGTTCAAACTCATTTGTGTTGTCTCACAGGAAGCACTTAAAATTTCTGGTATGGTGATGGTATCCTAAGTGGTTTTCCAGTGTTCATATGATTTTTGTTCATACTGTTTTTATAGACTTTGGAGAGTGTGGGATTAAGAATGTGTTTGCAACATCCACACTTTAATATAAATATTTAATAAAAGAAATTGTTACCTATAGCTCTAAGCATGTAAAGATAAAGACTTGACTAGTATTCGTTTCTGTACTATCTTCTTCAACAATCAATGCATGAACACATAAAATCAATTTATGATCAGAAAACTTTAATATTGACTCTTATTCTCAGTACTTGGGTTTTCTTTTCTTCCGCTGAGGGAAAAAATGAGTCACTCTAATAACTGTTTATAGAAACAGGGTTACATAAATCAAAACCACATGAAAATTAACAAATTCATTCTGAAAATATGAATATCTAAAACACCCATATATTACTCCATCTGTATTTCTCAGTAAAAACATTTACATCTGCTTGTAGGAAGTATTTCCTAAATTGACACTAACTTCAGTTACAATGGGAAGTGTACTGGAATGACTCCTTAGATATAATAGACTGAATTTTCAAGCTGTTCCAGAGTTGTTTTCATGTCTGTATTTGATTGACAAGGGTTTTTATTTTTACAGTAGTTGCTTAGAATTCTGAGTAAATTTGAGTTTTCTTTGTACCTACCTGTGTGGGTACAAATTCTACCTATGTGAATGTGACTTAAGCAATACAGTTAGTCAGTAAAATCCAGCTCCTCCAGTGCATTGGGAAGAGAGAAGAGGTCTGCTGGTAAATGTTTAAGAATTAGTTATCAAAAATATGCTCAGGCATACAGTTTACTAAAAAAATTTATAGATATTACTAAATTTACAACCAATTATTTCTCATAGAATGAATTCATTGGTTTTTGCCAAATTGAAGTCCATGAGCAGTCTAGGTTTGCACCTCATCAAAAGTTGACATGTAAAGTTCTATTTCAATCTAGTCATTCATTTTCCTATAAATTTATTAGCATGTAATCTGATAATAAATTTCTGGAAAATTGCTGGATTAATTTCAGATAATTTATTTAATGAGGTTGATGTAATTTATTATTAAGTTGTGGCTTTGTTTTATAACTGTCTGCTAAGATTTGTAAAAACTTACCACTGGCACTACACACTTTGCTTGAAATTCAGGTCAAAAAGATTTACATTAGGCTATTATCTATATTGTATTCTCTATATACCTCATTTTTAGTATACATGTTATTATAACTTCCCATGTTTTTAAAGTAATGTATTCTTTAAGTATACATTTTTATTTTTTTAATATGCTGGGGATACAATGAGGCATTTACAGAAGTTCTCACAACATATCATATATATCATATCATACTTGAATTTACTCCCTCCATCATGTTCCTTTATCTTCCTCCCCTAGTCTTGGAATAGTTTCAACAGGTCTCATTTTTCCATTTACATACATGTGTACACAGTATTTGCACCATATTCACCCTCCTTTCCCCCTTCCCCACATCATACCCTCCTGAAGGTAGCAACCACATAATTAATAAAACAAAGATCTTTATTACATGGACATATTGATCATTGATAATTTAACATACACAACGTTAATGCAAAACTAAAATTGAAATTGTCTATGAATTACATACTTTGGCACACAACTTACAAAGAAATGAAATAATGCAAGTCTTTTCGCAAGACTACCATATTCAGAATGAAATGCAAAATAGAAAATCAGGAATCTAGAAAAGGCATGCAAATATAAAACAATATAAATGTTCATGCTATATATAGTATATAATTGATATAGATAAATATATTGATAGATATTGGAGAAAATGAATAAAATTCTATCTTCTTAATCAAAACTTATCTGAAGAAGTATATTCTAATAGTAAAAGGATTTAGTGAAAATCTTACCAGAATAAAATCGTTAGAAAATGTATCATTTCCAAGTGCTGCTGTAACAAAGTATAAAAACTGGGTTGCTTCCAACATTTAATTTTAGTGTGTCTCATTACTGATTTCTCTTAGTCTGTCTTAACAGGGGCTCATTGAGCTTCTTGGATGTGTAAATTCCTGTTTTCCTCAAATTTGGGAAGTTTAACCAATATTTCTTCAAATATTCCTTTTATTTCCATTCTTCCTGGTCTCCCATAATGTGGATCACTTTATGGCAACCAGCAAACCCTGTAGCTTCTGTTGCAATTTTTTTTTCTTTTTTCCATCTCCCCTCTGACTATATCACTCAATTGTCCTACTCCCAAAATTGTTGATTCTTTCCTGGAGCTGCTAGCATAAGCCGTTGAGGTCCTCTGTGAATCTTTCTTGTTAGATAGTGTTCTCTTCAGATTCAGAATTTCTATTTGAGTCTTGTTCTTATGGTTTTTGTTACCTTAATGACATCTTCCATCACTCGTCTTGTTTCTTGAGCAACTTTGTACATAGTTTATTTGCACTCTTTGAACATGAACAATTGATGTAAACACATGATCTAGTATATGTCCAATGTCTGCACATTCTCATAATCAGTTCATGTCAACTCTTTCTCCCATCCTCTCCACTCCTTAACCCCAGTAAATAGGCCAGACTTTCTTATCTCCTTGTTTTTTTGGTTTGGTTCTTGAGTCAGACCTCCAGCCTTTTGTCCTTTACCTTTCAGACAGAGTTGCAATCTTTTGTCTGAGCTGCCCTGGACTGTGGTCCTTCTACCCATGGTTTCCCACATAGCTGGCATTACAGACATGAACTGCCATACTCAGCTTATTTGTTAAAATGGGGCATCACTAACTTTTTCAACTTGGCTGGCGTCTAACAGAGACCCTTCCTATTTTCCCCTGCTGAATAGATTGGATTACAGAAGTGAGTCTCTGAAACTGGCCCTTTCTTATTTCTTTGTAAGTCTTCTTGCTGCTTTTGAAAACTGGACAGTGTGAATTTTTGAATATTACTCTGGAATAAGATTCTTTCCCTTTACCAAGTTTGGTTGTGGCTTGGTGAGGGCTGGAGTCATACATTTTAATGCTTTTACTAAACTATTTTTGCTAAGGCTGTATTCCTTGTCATATGTAATTACTGTAGTCTCTATTTTGCTATCTCAGTAGAAACCAGGGACATGACAAAAGTTCTTTAAAAGTTTGGAGCCAAAAAAAAAGTTATAGACCTCTAATGGTCTTTGCACTTGTCTCTGGGATGGGGCATTCCTTCAATGCTAAGTCAGACGTTCTAGACTCTACCTTCATCCCCTACTTGCATGGAACCCACAGACCTGCCAGAGGTGTATACCGCGGGTCCTCCGAGGTCTTTCCAAGAGAGATTCTGGTGTGGAGCATGAGCGTTATACTCCTGGTTTCCACGGTACATGTCATGGCCATTCTGAGCTATTTTTACCCCAAGAAAATTAATGCTCAGCCTCCCCTTTCCCAGTATTCTGGTTATCACTTATGCTTACTCCATTTGTTGTCCTTTGCCCAGGGCAACTATAAGAACTACATATATTTAATAATTCAACAGCCTCTACTGCTGCCTAAAAAGATGGCAGCTTTGCTAGCTTAATGGTTTCTTCAGAGGAGGTACAGAATGAGTTCTCTTCTCTGTTATTTTTCTCTCACCCAAAGTATAACTTCTCAATTATTTTTTAACAGTTCAGAGGCATGAACTCAGGGCCTACACCTTGAACCACTCGCTAGCCCTTTTTTATGATTTTTTTTCAAGATAGGGTTTCACAAACTATTTGCCCAGGCTGGCTTGGAACTGCAATCCTCCTGAGCTCTGCCTCCTGAGTAGCTAGGATTAAAGGCGTGAGCCACTGGCGACCTGCCAAATTTTTAAATTTTGCTGATGAACAATTTTATCATTTTTTTTCATGAATTTTTCATTTAACAGTGTCCCTAGAATGGACAAAAGTACTCTCCAAATGGATGTTTTCAAGAGATTCACTCTGTAATTTTTAAATATGATTCTTTCTTTCTTTGTTTTTTATTGCTGCTCTGAATGGAGGTACATTGTGGGATTTACAAGTGTTCTTACAATGTAGCAAATATACCATGCTTGAATTCAGCCACCATTCTCCTTTATGCCAACCTTCCCACCATTCCTGGAGTAGTTTCAGCAAGTATCATTTTTTACATTTGCATACATGTGTACACAGTATTCACCCTCCTTCACCTTCTCCCCTCCCACCTCCCCACTCCCACCCCCCCTCCCACTGGTACCAACATTCAC